CCCAGCCGAAACCAGGACACACGCCACGTGGGCTCAGCCCACCTCAGAGCAGCAGGCCACGGGCATAGATAGTGGGCTAAGGACGGCTCCAGCAGCCAGTCACCTGGGTGGAGAAAGAGTGAGGAGATAAAAAAACAGGAAGAAGCAAATGTTTCTGGCCAGGTAAGTACCCCTGAATCAACTGGCACACAGAAAGCCTGTGGCAGAGAAGAAAACTGAATTGGTGTCGTTCATGCACTAGGCCACAGCACTGGCCTTTGAACGACCCAAGGCCTCTTCAGACATTTAGCATAAGATCCTGGGTCTGGTCTTCCCTGAGAGATGGGCATTTGGGCAAACCCACGTGCTGGCTGTCTGGAACCAGGTTGGCTTTCTGATCTTCACCCAAAGAAGGACTTAGCTCACTTCTGATTTCTACATCCTCTCATCACTGCTGTGGCTTGCTCATGTTATTATTTTGTACGTTATCTTACACTTTTTAATACATTAAGGTATAGTAAATGAAGAATAAATGAAGATTTATATTTCTTACTTTCAAATTCATTCACTGAGCAATTTGTGTCAGAAAAATGTAAGAATGTATCAAAATTTGAAATGTAAGAGCCTAGATAACATTGAATACAAGATTTTATTTTTCAGGCAGTTTTAAAGCAATGTTTTAGGGAAAACAGTGAAAGTAAGAACAGTAAGGAACCACAGCCAGTATAATAGACTTCTGGATCATTATTAGGTACTCCAGTAAATATTTATAACATATTAAGTCTTGTAATTTTTTTTTATTTTATTTCTGAAATAATATTAAATGCAAATTACAAGCTGTTGAGTCGTAACTTAGACACCAGGATTTTGCATGGATTTTCTGAAATCAAACATACTCAAACTTGCTTTTAAAGTCAGTATTAGTCACCTGCATTTGCTTGTTGAGTACAGCTTTGTTCATTTCAGCACAGAAGCCTGTACCTTTTCTGTCCCCACCACCAAAACACCACACTCACAGGCCTCACTGCCAGGCAGAGATCAAGCCTTACATGTCCCTCAGATCACAGGAAACACCCATGCAAATACTGAAATTTCACAGTATTTCCCAAGCATCTCTCCGTTACATAGAACTGCATGAAACTCTCTAGTCTTGTTAAACAAGATGAACATGGACCTTATCTATTAGAGAACATTATAGAAATGGTTGAACATACCACTGTGATCTTGTACAAATCAGGGATAGTTGAGGTGACATCAAAGTCACTGAAAAGCAACAGACCCCTAGATTCCAGGTTTCACCTTCAGAAAGTGCCATTCTATTTTCATCCTTTAAAATGCAGCTTCTAAGTACAGCAAAAAAAAATCAAGAGTCATAAGAAAAACCACTGAGACAGAAATCACTCTTCAGTGGTGGTTTGGACTGGGAGGAAAAGAAAGTTAGAAGAGACTGACAAGCAACGTGGGCTGAAAGTCAACTAATAGAAAAGCCCAAGAACAGAAATGTGATGAGGACAAAACAAAATCCTGAAAGCTGAGAGGAAGAGAGGGAATAGCAAATGGACAGAAAGAAAGAGGGAAGAAATGACCAAGGGAAGACATGAAAAAAAGACGGACAAAATTTTATTTTTTCCATAACTGAGTTGTAACCACTGCATGTTGATGTGCCTTCAGAAACCAAAAGCAACAGGCAAATACCTTTAAAATATAAACCAATAAAAATTAAGACAGATAAGACACCAGACCTGCATGGCTCTAAAGTTCAGAGTGCCCTTCGCAATTGCCTCGGCAAAACACCACTGGAGCTGCCTGGCTTGGACCTGAGATGCTTAGCTAACTCATTCTTCTCTTCCATCTTCTCATGTCAGCACAGCTAGTTGCCAGTTAGCCGGTAGCAATAAAAATAGCAACCTATTTTCCTGCATCAGCTGCCCCTCCCATTACAAAAAAAAAAAAAATAAATTGTTTTCTTCCCTTATGCCAGCCTATAAACCAGGAGTTTTTCTCTGCCCCACATGCTGTAAAAGAGTTTTGCAAACAAAGCTGCCTGTGATCCCACAGCAGGTGATGAGAGGCAGGACAGAGGCTGTAAACTGGATGGCTTCTGCCATATTGCCCTCCTTTTACCTCAACAGCTGGCCCCAAACTGCTTCTCCAGGTCTGTCTGATAGCATAGGTGCCTGCTGCTGAACTCTGCCAGGGACACCCAAGGGGCCCAGGGGATGTGCGAGAGCTGCACTACAGACCCACAAAAGAGGCCCCTCTCAAGACAGTGTGCAAACACTGGAGTATCCCACACAGGTCAGTTAAACAGAGCAATCAGCATCCTTAGGTGATGGGTATACACTTTTCATATATGCCTTTCTTTCTTTCCCAGCCAGAGAGGTTTCTGTGCTTCACCCAAGAGCTCTGAAGCCCAGCAGAAGCACTGTGAAATGAAACAGCCGCTTCTGCAACAGGGAATTCTTTCCAGCCCAAGCACGGAGTTTCATATTTCAACTCCTCCTTCACATTCCAGGCCTGCCCAGGCTCCTCTCCAAAGATTTCGAAAATGGAGCCTCTCACAACTACTTACCCTCTGAAATACTCAGTGCCCAAAGCCAGGGTCTTTGTTGTCTTTCTGTCGATGGTTTTGTGTACTGCCATTCTCTGCCTGCTGCAAGTCAGATTTTTTAAACCTAAAATCAAAGATTTTTATTCTTTCGAAGTCAAGGATTCACGAGGAAGGATCGTTTCCTTGGAGAAGTACAGAGGGAAAGTAAGTTGCAACTTCATTATATCTTTGTGTTGAATCCTCACTGAAAAACAGGTCTCCATTTGTAAGTTAACAAAAAGTTTGGTTATGGGACTTTTCAGCAGAGATTTGTGCTAAATTCCTGTTTTTCAAACAGTAAGCTGGAGAGAAATTTATTGTATCTAGGCCTGCTCCAGGAAGTAAGTATTAGATGTAGTAAATAAAGAAAAATGGGTTTTCATATTCTTTATTGTAAATCAATATAGCCTAACAACACAATTTGTGCATTTTAATCTTAGTTAAGAATGGTAGCATGTTGTGTTGAATTCTGGAAGTTGATCTAGTAAATATGATTTTAGTGCCTGTCCTAAATATCTGCTTTTTTACATGCTTATATTTAAACAAAGCTGTAAGTGTATCCATTTATTGGATTTTTAAAACAGGTTGTCTGAAAGTAAGTATCTGAAGCTGCTATCATCCTTATCTGTTTAATCAAATTATGATCAGACATTAAATTTAGCCTTCAGGCAGGAGCGATTGTGGTAGTGGGAGATGCCATTTTAAGACTAAATTGTAATCACTATGCCATCTCTAGTTTTTTCTCTTACTCTTATAACTTTATTTCTCTGAAGGCAACTTTGGTTGTAAACGTGGCCAGTTACTGCCAACACACAGACAAAAATTACATCGCACTGCAAGAGCTACACAGAGAATTTGGTCCCTCCCACTTCACTGTGCTGGCTTTTCCCTGCAACCAGTTCGGAGAATCAGAGCCTAGTTCAAGCCAGGAAATAGAATCTTTTGCCAAAGGAAACTATGGAGTAACCTTCCCTGTTTTCCACAAAATCAAGATCCTAGGATCAGAAGCAGAGCCTGCCTTTAAATTTCTAATAGGTAACTATTTTCTTTTATATATCAAGCTGCCTGTAACCACGGTATTCTCCCTAAATTCCAGCCTGAGTTTGTTTGTCAGCAAAGAGTCTTCATAGTCTATGTAGAAAAAGAGGCATTCAGCATACAATTCATCTTGTTTCAATGTGGATATCAAAAATATGGTCAGAAGAGTTGTAGCCTGAAAGCATCCATTTCTTCCCAGTGATTATAAAAACAGCCTACTGTGACCAGCCCAGCTAGAAACATCCATTTTGTGGATGTATAAACTTGAGCACAAAGACTCCCACCTACAAAATCCCGTTTCAAATTATGTGACTTTTGTTGAAAAACAACTTTGCTCAAGGACAAAAATTTACCTATGGGGGTCTTAAAATTACTGGAAGATTTTACATAAACACATACAGATGAGAAGATTCCTGTTTTAGCAGAGTTGTATGTCCACCTTTATGTAAACTGTTTTGTAAAGCAGGATTATATATACTGCAGTTATATATAACCACTGCTTTGCATTAAATTGTCTTGTGAACTTCAGGGCCCAGCTGCAAAACCCACTCACATGAATACTCCTATTACAGTAAGCATTTACTGACTTAGAGCCTCATACTCTCACAAGCAAAATGAAACTCTCTTCAGTTGACCAAAGAGCCTACAGACCCAAAGCCAACTTAAAAAGCCTCTCTGAATTTTCCTGAGCTTTGGCCAGGTCTTTGACCCATACTAAACACTGATATGTGAAAGAAAGGGTAATTAGAACATAACCCTTTTCTATCACATCATTTTAACTAGAAAACAAGGTAGGAGAAAGCCCAAACCTGTATTCCACGTCCCTGCCCCAAGATAGGATCACATTTACCCAAATCAGTACTGCACGTGTTTCTCCAGACTATTACAGTATGAGAGATTCCAAACCCTCCCAGTCTATTCCAGTTCTTCACAGCTCCTCTTGTCAGAAAGGTATTTCTGACATCTAAATGAAATCTTACACCACTTGAGTCTGTTGCTTCTTGCCATATCCTCTGTGATACCTCTTACGTATTTGAAAATTATTATCACTTTGGAGTCATTTAAGTGGTCACCATTGTCACTGTAACTGTGTTTCTTCCTACCTCCCCTTAGGCATATCACCAAAGACCTCAGGTAAAGCCTCGTTGCTCTGAGTTGCCTGATGCTCAGTGGAATTACTGAATGCACTCTGGAGGTGCCTCTCAGTTCATTGTAGAGGAGACTAGAGCATGTAGGTACCAGCTGGGTGGGATGAATCCAGATTCTAACTACCAGTGCAATCAGTATCAGACATTAATGCCTACACAGAAACAGAACAGCCATATTCACTCAGTCGGTTCTTATTTGACATGCTGGTCACCCACAAGGAGAAAGAGCCTGTGGTACTTAAATATTTTGAAATAAGGTCTTTCTTTTCCCCACATTCCTCTGTTTCACATGAGATTACTGGGCATCTTCAATTAAAGAAGCACCTGTTTTCTTCATGTAGCTGTCTTGAAAATCAGAAGGTTGAACATCTTCACGCTACACCCCCTTGTGACTGTGAATGCTAGCTACAATTTGTCCAGCACTGTCAGATAGTCTAGTGCAAAAAGAATCCATGGGCAGCATCAACATGGTGCCAAGACCTTTCTTTACACAACTGCTTCTTGTTGCTTTCATAGCAGTATAGCATTTTGTTGGGCCAGTGCAAGGTTTGTGGCCTCACCTTTCCTCAAATAATGTCCACTTCGTATGTGTTTGTACTTTATAGGAGTTACCCATATGCATTAAGGAACCCTGGAAGAACATTCAGAGATGGTGTTATCATGGAATCATAGAATCGTTTAGATTGGAAAAGACCTTTAAGATCATCCAGTCCAACCATTAACCTAGCATTACCAAGTCCACCACTAAACCAGTTAAGGGTAGAGAAGCAATTCCATGTTTCCTGGCTTGGTGGCTGGATTATTTATAATGAAAGTAAAAACTGGGAATCAATAAGGTTGGAAAGGATCTCTAAGATCATCAGTCCAACCATCAACCCAACACCACCATGTCCACTAAACCATGTCCCAAAGTGCCACGTCTACCCATTTTTTGAACACTTCCAGGGATGGTGACTCCACCACCTCTCTGGGCAGCCTGTTCCAATGCTCGACCACCCTTTCCGTGAAGAAATTTTTCCTAATATCCAATCTAAATCTCCCCTGGCGCAGCTTGAGCCCATGTTGTATGTTATTTCAAGACCGATTCTAGATACAACGACTCACCAAATATATAATTGCTAGCAGGGCCAGAGCCTCCATGACATGAGCTTTACCGTACCCATTTGCTTGCCATGGTGTCCCCCTTACAGTCATGACATTATAAATGTAGTCCAATGGCAAAATTCAACCCATTGCTTCCAACAATCAGTGTAGGGTTCAGCACTGTTCCCCACTGGACACCTGTTCCCCAGTCAAAATCTCCTGGAGTTTTCTTTTAGTTCTTCTCTAAAAAGTGATTTCCCTCTAAACCTGTGAGGCTCTCCAAGGACAAAGCCAGACTCAAAAAACTGCTTCTGCCTCCTCTAGGAGCCACAGAGTTTGTTCATGGCCCCTTGATCTCGGAAATTATCTTGCCAGGTACACATCATAGCAAAGACACAGGTAAGGTTTGCCTCATGGGATGAAAGGAGCTGAATTAAGCCATCACCAGTATGACTTCCTGCTCCCATTTCACTTCCCCTAAACCGACAAAAAACTGGAGATTCCCCAAATGATTATGCAGCCCTCATATCCTCCTCCCTAGAAAGCAGAGCATAGTAAAAGTAAGAACTCTTAAAACAGTTTCACAAAAAGGGGAGAGCATCATTCACTTCCCACTTTTCAGATCATTAACACCAACCAGTAAATCCATGCCCAGACTACTAGCAAAGAACAAAGTGGGACTGCTTCAGCATAAATAGTTGAAGAATCACTGCAGGGTAATGAAACAATGATAAGTGTAATCACTAAAACAATCTGATGCCATTCTTACAGATTCTTCAAAGAAAGAGCCTCGATGGAATTTCTGGAAGTACCTTGTCAGCCCTGAAGGTAAAGTTGTGAAATTCTGGAGACCTGAAGAGCCCATAGAAAGTATCAAGCCAGAAGTAGCATCATTAATCAGGCAGATTATCATGAAAAAAAGAGAAGACCTCTGAAAAAGCCATTCACGCTGGCAATCCATTCAACAGCATGGGTACACAGCCTTACTACATTCCTGGGAAATGCTGCTAGAAGCTAAACCATCAGGTGATTTTACTTCTCTTTGGCGTTAGTATTTTCAGCTACACTATGTCTATTAATGTTGGACTGGCTCCTGCAACAGCCTTGAGATCCACTGAGGTTACTGAGAATGGCAAGGCACTCGGTACCTTGGAGGGCTGGACCTTCAATTTGCATAAAGTTCCTGAATGTTTCTGTAAATTGCTGACAATAGCTAATCACAACTGTCACAAACAGGGAGACAGCTAAAAAGAAGAGGATTTGTTGATAAAATACTTTGTATTTCCACAGAAGTATTTTGTTTCCCATCTACCATCAACAAATAGATTTTGATATTCCATTAACACATAATGGCCCTGACTGAAAGACATGGGGCCCAGAGGCATCATACCAGGGTTTTTAGAGACAAATACCACTGAAGATACCAGCTTTGCGATATCTTCTCAAGGAAGAATGAATTGTGAAGCTGTCAACTTAGTTGTAAAAAAACTGTACATAGAAAATAAAACTATCAAAAGAAAAATTGTAAAACTGTTTCGTTGCCTGCTTTGTATTTTGATTAATTTTACATTTTTAATACATTAATTTTACATGTCACTTTACAGCAACACCTTTAACCTCTTTAGCCTTCCCCATACATTTGCACTGCAGTACAGTGCCTCTGCTGTGAGCTCGTCTCCTGCTGTATCACCAGTCTTCTGACCTGGATGAAGGTAGGGCCTGTGTGAATATGCATGCTTGCTTACAGCAGGACTCAAGGGGCAATAAAAATCAACAGCCTGGCACTGTAACAGACTTCTTTGTGAGACAGTCCAAGACAATGCTCCCCAGCCATCTACCTCACATCTCTGGAATAAAACAACAGTCTTCAAGTAGAGGTAGAAGAAGGGGATGAAGGTTCATGCCTTAAGCCCCACTCTTCTCCCCTTGCAACGTCCCGTCCTGCATGTAACTGCAAATTCATTTCCAGTTCTGTTCCACTGCTCTATTTCAAACTGTCAAGTGTTTTGATTTATCTGTTTGATGAAGGGAGACAGTAAATTGGAATAAGGAACCTCATTCCAGCTGTCCAAGTCTTAAAGGAGGGCTGAGAGAATAGAAGTGAGAGAAAACAGTGTCTCAGAAGAGTTTTTTATATGAAAAATGACTGGTAGCAGTTCTCTTGTAAGACTAACAGTGACTGAAAATACCTGAAGTGCTTCAAAACATTTTCCAATAAAGATAGCCAATTAACTGTATTAAAAAGGTGAGAAATTCAAAAGCAATTTTAAAAAAATATATTTTTTATTCATCTATGGAATTCATTGAGAATTTCACAGAAAACCCCTGAAGGATAAGGACATAAAAAGATTTTAAAAGACTGAGTGATGAGACCGATGTGGAGGATTAAACAAAATCACCATCAATAATGACAACCATCATTTTGGAAGGGATGTCAAACCTATGCATGACAATTTTAGCCACTCTTAACTTTCAGAGATCAGTTAAGGCCCATGTTAGGGTCTAGTTAGTCCAAATGTGCCTACTGCTGGTGTTTTAGACCAGCCTCTGAGCTGTTTGCCATTAGCCCACAAGATTCCACATCCAATCCATCCAGACAGTTCCTGTTCTTATGCTGAGGTCCTTTGTTTTAATCATAGGATCGTTTGGGTTGGAAGGGGCCTTTAAAGGTCACCTAGTCCAGCCCCCTGCAATGAGCAGGCACATCTTCGACTAGATCAGGTTGCTCAGACCCCCGTCCCACCTGACCTTGAATGCTTCCAGGGATGGGGCATCTACAGCCTCTCTGGGCAACCTGTTCCAGTCTCCTCGTACATGTACAGTTCCAGCCCTGGGAACATTTGGCAGAACACATCAGGTAATTTTTGTCACATGTCCCTGATGCTTGATGGAGCAGGAAGGGAACTGAGATATGGATCTTCTCCCCTCACAGGGAGTAGTCTAGGTTCCACAGAACTCAGTGGCAGGACACAATGTTCTTCCCATAAATGGTGGATTATATCTTTATTTGAAAATGTACATGACTAAAACATGCATGTCCATTCATGTGTACTGCTATAGCTCCCTGCTTTTTGTATCCCTGAATAAAATAGGGTGGGTATAAAGAAATGTTGGGTGCTGTTAGTGGAACACCAGTGGGAAGAAAAGAAAAAAAAAAAAAAAAATCTATTTTAGTCCTGGTATTGCCTGAGAGTTACTCAGCATATGGGAAGTTTCACTCAAGTTCTTTAAATACCCTATGAAAGATAAACAGTGCAGTATCATCTTCTAGTTTGGAAGGGATCACGAGGGAAGGGAGTGTGCACACCTGGCTTGTGATTCACTCACTAAAGATCATACTCTGTTTTTCACAGGATAATCTTAAATAACCTAATGCCAGCACTAAGATCAAATATCTTTCCTGGTATTCAGAAATACCATGGGATATTAGCAAATGAGTGGACAGAATTATTTAACTCACTGTTTCCTGAATTACTTTTACTTCAGATTCCTAGAAAAAGGAGGTTTTGCCTGAGAAAACGGTCACTGAATTTCTTATTTCACCATTTGGTCACAATCCACTACAACCATCTTCTGTAGAAATTTGAATATAGGTACCATTCAGTCCTGAATCTACACAGAGTTTAAGTTTTTCAAAGTTTACTCTTAATTAACATTCCTCCAGAAACTCAGTTTGTTTGTATTACTTATTCTTCATGGGACATACCAGCTCTTCCAATGTACTATTTAGGGCAGATCACTGATACACGAATCACTTCTTTCTTAAAACCAAGTCACCAGTTATCCAGGGTGAAAATAAAGCCTCTTTAACTGCCAAATCTACACAGACTTGGAAAAGCAAATAAATAAAATGAAACTTAGAACAGTTATACAAGCACACACTTATCTGTAGTCAAAAGCCAAAGTAATACAAATACATGTTTGTAAAAATATCCCCTTACAGTTTATGTAGGATATAGCATATTAAAAAAATACTAAACTACAAATGCTATAAACAGATTAAAACCTATTTCTCAGATTCTTAAATAATCCCACCTATTTAAGATAAAACTGCCCTCTTAAGAATGTTAATGGAGTTCAGTCCATGAGTGTTGAAGTTTCTTCAACTCTATTTGAGCATAACCCAATGCATCCTTCATCCTAGCACTTCCTTCATTCCTACCTCATGCTTCCCTCATTCCTTAGGTCTGACATATCCAACAGATACCATTTAACGGTCAGCTCCTCTTTCCAAAAAATTGCCTGGAAGCGCAAGTATTCTAAATCGGTTTCAGTCGCCGGCTGGACATGTCCCTGTTAATCTACGCATTATCAGAAAATACTTGTTTGCTGAGCCCACTCATCAATGCTCCTGTAAACATTTAGTGGTGTGAGAGAAACATATTCACATAGGGCTCAAACCTGAAACTCTTACTTAATGCTTACATAATTTAGTAAATTCTTTAGAAATGAGTTGGATTAGCTGTCTAAATGTGTCAAACACAGTTACACTTATTTTTATATCCTATGTTCACTCAGTTTGCATAACCTAGCATAGCTCCTTTCAGTCAGGGCAACTAGGCAGGCATTGGGCCCCATACCAGCTAAGGATCTGATGGGGTATTTCTAATAACAGTGTTTATATTCTTGTCTCAACAGTGATGTGTTAATGTGGCAGTGTAGTCAGTTGCTGGTGTATGAAGAACAGCTAACTAACAATACACTGCCTAATCACCACACACAACACTAGGATCACCCTAATTCTGCAGACCATCACAAACATTGATGTCATTTCTCTTCCTAGGAGACCTTCAGTTTGCAATGCACATACAGCACCACCCAAATAAAGCAAGTAATTACAAAGAGTTTCTTTTGCATTCTGTAAGTGCCTCAAGTGCCAGGATGAGGACAGAGGTAATATTCCGTTGCCTGTTGCAGTATTTTTAATAGAAGCTTCCAGTGCAACATGAATCAAAAGGATCAGCATGCTTCCAGCCTTTATTCTTCTGAAGTACAATATTATGTTCTATTCAAATTGTGTCTCCTGGTTGGTAAGACTATGTGCAGTTGTTTTAAGGTATTGCTGTTCACAAATTAAGTTATTCTGAGAAGCAAGGGGAGAAGAAAAACTCTGAAGTTTACTTTTTTTAATAGAATGGAAAGGCAATTATTTTTCAGATACAGCATTCAGGCAGTTAGTGAAAGTGATTTTAAGCCTTTCCAGCATCTAATTACTCAGTTTAAAAAAAAAAAAACAAAAACCAACCACACACCACCACCCCCAAAACCAAAAAACTTGCATTTGCCAAATACCATTCTAAAAATTTAAAATCAAACTTTAAAACTCATGTGATTTTTTAAACTGTGCTTCTTTTGCTTTAAGAAAACTTCCAGAGCTTAAAATTGTTTGAAATGTTTTAATTATTTACCTGTTTCAAGTATTTAAAAACTTTCTGTTACCTTGGTACCTAAAAGCAGATGAAAACCAGAGTCTAAATCAAACAAAAATTCTAACAATTCTTTGGATAATAGTGGGTAATGGAAATACAAAATACCGCTATAATACCAAAAACTAGCCTGACAGTCAAAAAAAGCAATAATCAGGTGGACCCAAAAGATTCCTTATACAGAAGTAGTAGCTCTCCAATTTGATGATCAAGGTATGTGGAAAAGGATAGCAACTGCATGTTAGCTGATGTCAGAATTTCAACCAGCTAACATACACTGCCATCCCATCACACACAGATGCAGCACCTGCATTCCTGGAAATTAGAACCCTAGCACTTTCCGAAGGAACTGCCTTTAAACAGCGATGATCTGGCCCTGCAGCAGGTGACAGTGCAGTAGGGACTGCTACATTCAGATACAGCAGCCAGCTAGCAGTACACTGCCTACCAGACACAGAGTCCATGCATAAAGAGGTGTCTCATGAAATAACACACCTGGAAATATCTCTTATTTTCTACCTAAATTCAGCACTGCTCACCTGGTTTGAGGTTCATATTTTATATATGTATATATATGAGTTTAAGCAGTAAATACTGTCATGAAATAAATGCAACAGACAAGTTTCTGATTCAGCAAGACCCGAATTAAAGTAATACTATAAAACCTATGTGGAGTATGATGAGAATCAGAACCCA